TGATCATATCTCGAAAATTTCGTAAGTAGGGGCGTTCGTAAGTAGAGGTACCACTGTATTTGTTTATTTATTTATTTTAATGAAGATGGCCGTCCATCTCATCACTGTAGTGATGAACCCAGCCACAAGGTGGCAACTGTATGCACACAGTTACTGGTAGAGTTCCACTGAGAAATGCATGCCCGCTGTTACATTTTCCATTGGAAATAAGACTGATCCCACCTTAGCACCCTCTGTATTTGTTCGGCTTGCAACTTCCATAATTGCCACCCGGTACCACTAAGGGCTGTGAGCATTCATATACAAATTATTTGGAGAGAAACAATGACTTACAGACTTGCAGCAGTTTTGGAGAGTGGAGTGGCATTGGGGCAGATTCAGATCTCAAGGATGGAGTTGTCTGGGTAACCTTGGGTCAATCAATGCCCACAGTCGAGCCTATCGCACAGGATTGTGCTGCGATGATGCAATGATTTGAGTCTTCCATATGTGCCACACTGAGGTCTCAGACGTAAAGAGGGATATCAGTGTAATAATAACTGAAAAGGTGCATAAGAACAGGCATCATGCTGGGGCCATGGGTTTAGCCCAGCCCAAACAGAGCTTCTCCAGGTACAACTATCAAAACATCTTGCAGCTAATGAAGGAGCTGGAGGTATACAATCCAGCCATTCCCAAACTGGTGGCCTCTACACCATAATACAGCTCCCATCATTGTCCAGCCGCCAACTCAGCAGAGAAGGGCTAGGGTGTAGAGATTGCCTTCCACCACTAGGTGGATCTTGGCTGTTTTTGTTTTCAAATCTTTTCTGCAAGCTGGTCTTTACCCTGCTGTCATCAGAGAGGACAGAGTTGCATTAAACTGGTGTTTATATTAAGAGCTAGAGTTACGCATTTTTCTGAGAGCGCAAGGTGGGCAACTTTTCCCCTTGTTTTATCCCCATCACCACCACTCTGTGAGGTGGGCTGGACTGAGGGCAGGAAGAGAAGGGAGGGAGGGTGGATTATTAGTCTGAAATCACTCCAAGGGCTTTGTGCTTAAGTGGGGTTTGAACCCGGGTATCCCTGAGTCCCCTCGGATGAATTGCTCTTGATTTGCTTTTGAATATAGTGTGGTGCAAAGTGGGGAAAAAACACAGAAAAGCAAACTAGGAGAGTTGCACTTTTGCTCATCTGCAAAACTGATTCCGGCTTTTTCCTAGTTCGTTCAATAAGCTATAGCTTAAACAAGTGCTTAGTATTTAAACCACAATCTATCTTCCTTCTTTCCTTCCTTCCTTCCTTCCTTCCTTCCTTCCTTCCTTC